GGTTTTTGCGGGGAAAAAACCCACAGTGTAGACAGGGCAAAAACCCCTTTTGAGCAAGATCCTGTATACATGCTTTTTTGAGGAATAAGGGTTCTTGTGCAAAAGGGTTTTTTGCGCAAAATGGCCCAGTCTACACTGCGTTTTTTTGCACAAAAACCTCTTCCACAAAATGGATAGGAAGAGACTATGCAAATGAGAGCATGAGAGATGCTAATGAGCGCTTCATTTGCATTGCCTCTTCCGACAAATTCCTGCAGCGTAGACGTAGCCTAAGTGACTTCTCAAAGGAGAGAATAGAGATGATCTCTTAGGGTATGACTAGACTACATGCCTCTGCCGACAGAGGCATATAAAATTGGCTACCCGACATAGTCAATGAAGTGGGGATTTAAATATCCCCAGCTTCATTAAAATAAAAATGGCCGCCACGCTGTGCCGGCTCAGCTGATTGTCGGCACAGCACGGCAGTCAAGACGCGGATCTGTCGACGGGGCAGCCTTTGTCGACTGCTCCTGTAAATCTCGTTTCATGAGGCATAAGGAAGCGATCGACAAAGGCGTTCCCTGTCAACCGATCCACGTCTTGACTGCCGCGCTGTGCTGACAATCAGCTGAGCCAGCACAGCGCGGCGGCCATTTTTATTTTAATGAAGCCGGGGATATTTAAATCCCCACTTCATTGACTACGTCGGATAGCCAATTTTACATGCCTCTGTCGGCAAAGGCAAATAGTCTAGACATACCCAAAGTGAAGGCAGCGCAATTGTACTCACTATGTACAGGGCAGTCTCTTGTACAAGTTTCATCATACTTTGTACTTAGGATTACACCTCCCCATGGATCCTTTCCATGTAAGTGATCCACAACCAAGAAAACCAACCCCACAATGATAAAAAAGGCCAAAAATAAAGAGGAACCCCACCCCATGAACTAGGTGCAAGGGACAGAAGCATGTAATATGGAAACAATTTCTGTTAATTCAGCAGTGTACACGAAAATATGCCAGGCAAAGAGCTGTGTGTTCTCCCCACCTTCTAACTAAAGGACACCATTTGGTTAGAGGTCTGGAAAAAAATTAGAGCTAGGCAAATATTTGTGCCAGTTGTACAGATTCAATTGCCAGAAAAAAAAAGAAAGTAGCTACAAAAATTGCTTTAAAAAACAACATGTTACTAAGTCAAGGACAGGTAAGTAAATGGCTCATAATAGAAAACCTGCACACAGTCCATTAGTGGGGCAGGAAGAAGTATCAGATGGCATTTTTCTTGAACAAGTTACACAGTCAAACCAAGAGTTAGATCTACTCATGTGGGGAGAGATTGCTTTCTGATCCATTACATGCCGTACCTTTATTTGCGTACTGAGGTTGCTTTGCTTCAGTTTCACAGGTTTCTCATTGGTTATATTGAAGTCCCAGATGCAGAGAAGCTTGGCAGCACTTCCAGAGTACATCTGGGGATTAATGAAGTTCTTACGGAAGGACTCAGCCATGCTGCAGTAGAAGTTACATGCAAGGGATCAGTCTTAGCAATGCAGGGAGTCTTTGAGCCGAAAAAACCCAGCTGGTGTGGAAAAGAAATCAGGCTTGCAAAATACAGAAATCTCCCATCCTTGATTAGTGAATGTAGAGTTCAGTTACAGTCACTCTCCTTTCCCTTTATGGTCAGGTGTCCTTATATACATTGCTACTTCCTGCCTTCTTTTCTCCAGTTCCATGTCAGCAATGGCTGCGTCTGAAGGGCCATTTCAACACAGCAAATCATTCGTAGAAGTCATGGACAGCAGCATTCCTAACAGGATTACACTTAACTGACTGAGCCTGAATTCTTCTGCGGGACATAAGTGACTCTGCAGGGATTCTGCACCCCATCTGGTGGGTCTGGCAGCAACTTGGACACCAAATAGCTCTAAACTGGGGAAACTTGCTGACAGCACATTTAATGTCACCAGATTCCTTTATTACCATCAGTGACTAGACTCAGAGATTTGTTGTTAGCAGCATGTCTAAACTAGTGGCCGAGGATATTATTACTACTCCTAGTAGATTCTTGAAATGTTAATACTTTTTTTTCATACAAATATATCAATTTTAAAGTGCAAAGGAGGAATATATAGTTACTGTACCTGTACACCAAGCTAAAGAAGCAGATGATGAAATAAATCCCAATAGTGAAAATGTAGGCCAGCTGCATGTTATAGGAAGAGTTGTTTGTGATTGTAGAGTTGGTATAAAAACCGTAGTAGAGCACAGTTTTTCTAAAATAACCCTAAAATGATACAGAAATTGAGTTAGCTCTCAAAAGACATGCTGTTGACTGAATATGGTGGCGCACGCAAGGGTCTGATCCAGTAAATCTTGATTGGCAGGAATAGTTCTGTTCACCCCAATGAGATAAACTCTTGCTAGTAAGGTTTTTGTAGGCTTAGGCTCTCCCTTCCCACCATATTTGATCACAATTTTATAAGTGCTTCTTGTGGCCAATGGAGCACCCCTCCTTCTGCTAGGAATCAACATGAGGAGCTGCAAATGCACCACACTTTGCAGGAGTGGGACTTAGTTAAGATTATTTCAACCGGGATTAGACCAAAAGTTATTTGGCCATCTTTCCCAGGAAGCACTCTGCAAATACTTGAATCCCTTATCCCAGTACTTTTACTTTGCACCCAGAAATTTAGGAGCACAACAATTTTACAATGGAAGCCTGAGAACCATTAGCTGAAATGCACAAATACAACACTGCAAAAGAA